GGCTGGGCAGAGCTGCTTGGTGGGCAGGTGGGAGAAGGGAAGGGGAAAGAAGCCCCCTCCTCGCTGCCCCTCCCCCACCCCCCCACCCTACATCTCCAAAATCAATCACTGCAGCTCGCCCAGAAAGCCGTCCGGGGTAAGAACACTGGCTTTGAGGACCAGACACTTTGGAAATCAGACTCCCCGATAAAAAACATCCGGGAAATACAGAGGGGTTCTCTCCGGGAGGTCGGTGAGAGAGGAGAAACGTGCGTCATTCAAACTTTTTTGAGAATAACGAGAGAAACAGAAGGTGGGAAGGAGGAGAGGGAAGCTTTCCATCTCGTTCTGAACCCGTGGACACTCGGGTTTTTAACCTTACACACACCTGCAGTGGGTGTGTGTGTGTGTGTGTGTGTGTGTGTGAATCCTCACCTGAGGGTATTTCCCCAGTGATTTTCAGAGGGAGGGATGTGAGAGACACACATGGGTGGGTTGCCTCCTACAGGCACCCTGACTGGGGCCTGGGATCGAGCCTGCCACCGAGGTAGTTGCCCTGGACTGGGAATCAAACCCTCCATCCTGTGGGCCAGCGCTCTATCCACTGAGCCAGACTGGCTTGGGCTACCGCACGCTTTGTTTGTTTTTTAAACATCAACAGAGGTTATCCGGGAAGAGCTGTCCGAGGCCCGTCCTGCGTGTCTCTGAGCCCACCGTGTCCCAGGGAGACCAGAGCTCTGGTTTTAAAACGGCTCCCTGCCACTTGGGAGCCGTGTGGCTCTGGGCAAGCTCCTTTCCTCCCCGGAAGCTTCGTGCTCCCCGCTCTTTATACCGAGAAGATCCCCCCCCCCCCCCCCCCGCCTGCCGCGAGGAGCCGGTATAGGAAGGAACGGTGGTGCCTTCAGCAGCTGCTCCGGGCTCTGGCACAGAGCGAGACCTCGGTGCCAGGGTAATGTCTGTGTTTCTGTATCTCCCGGTGATCTCTCTTTGACCCGGAGAGGGAACCGACGAGAGGCGAGAAGCGACAGCAGCAGGCTGGTCAGTTGGCCACCCGCTCCCTCCCTCTCGACCCCATGACCCCACCACGCCGGACTGGAGTGGGGAGGGTGGACGGACAGCCCGGCCCTCAGACTTAGGAAGAAGCTGCCAACTCTGTGTTGTCCCCGCCCCGCCACCCACGGCCACACCAGCACGAGCAGGCTTGTCAGAGGAAGTTTCCAGCTGCCGACCAGAGCAGAGGCTGCACTATTTCTGGCCCGCCGGCCAGACCACAGGAAGGGCAGCTGGCCCCTCGGGAGGGGAGGAAGGGGGGAGGGGGGGATTTCGAGGGGGGTCATCCAGCTGCATGGCAGGCTGGCCGGGAGGGTGGCTCGGCCTGCTGTCGCCTCCCTGAGCCCGGCTCCCTGCTTCGGCCCCGCCTCCCCGACCCCTGAGAAGCCCCGTCACCACAACAGAGCTCGGCGGGGCCCGAACGGACAGACAGACAGACGGACGGACGGACGCGGTCACGGACACGGGCTGCTGGCTGGAGCTCCGCAGAGCTCCTCGGCGGATCTGCTGACCCGGCAGATGGGCGGCAAGCACCACCCGACAGACAGACACCCCGTAATCAAAGCTCAAGAACGGAGCCGCCGCCCGGCTCAGGGCAGCCGGCTCTGACCTCCTCCCGAGTTAACCGCCAGCGGCTCGGCTCAGGGGGAGAAACGGCTTCTCCGGCGTCTTTAACCGTTCTCGCCCCGGCCCGGCCCGGCCCGCTTTATCCTGACTGAGGTCAGGACCCTGTGGTTGCGTTTCCGGAGGAGCCACGCAAGAAGGAGCCACGGAAAACCACGCTGTCTCGGAAGTGACAGCGAGCTCCGGGCCCCGTGCGGATGGAGGCCTGGAGCTCCTCCGAGTCCCTGATCACCGGAGAGACGCAAATCCAGGCGACAGAGAGGCGCCCCCTCACGCCTGTCAGAACTGGCTCCCATCACCCAGTCAACAAAGGCAGGAGCTGGCGAGGATGTGGAGACAAGGGAGCCCCAGTCCACGGCCGGTGGGAACGCAGGCCGGCGTGGCCATTATGGCAAACAGCGTTGCCTCGAGAAAAAGTTAAATGTGGAACCCCCATTGGACCCAGGGATCCCACGCCTGGGGATTTATCCTAAGAAACCAGGAGCACCAGTCAGAAAGGATGCAGGCACCCCTATGTCCATAGCGGCACCATCTACAACAGCAAAGATCTGGAAACAGCCCAAGTGCCCATGGGTAGATGAGTGGATAAAAAAAGCTGTGGTGCATTTACACTGTAGAATACTACACAGCAATAAAAAGCAGCAGCTTACCCTTGGAGACAGCATGGAGGGATCTGGAGAGCATGAGGTAAGCAAAATCAGCCAGTCAGAGAAAGACAAGCATCCCATGATCTCACTCACATGTGGAACCTCATGAACAAAATGAACTGATGGACAAAATGGACACAGAAGCATGGAACAGAGGGCGGAATCTCAGAGAGAACGGGGGGCGGGGGGGCAGAGGGGGGCGGGGGAAGGAGGGGGGGAAGAAATCAACTGAGAACGTGTATGCATATATGCATAACCCGTGGACACAGACAATAGGGTGGAGAAGGCCTGGGGCTCAGGGCAGGGCAGGCTAGAAGGGGTCAATCGGGGAAAGGGGAGGACACAGGTAATACTTTCAATAATGAATATATAATTTTTTTTTTAAAGCCTTGGGACCAGCCCTGGCCAGGGGGCTCTGTTGGTTGGAACATATCAAAAGGGTGTGGGTTAGGTCCCTGATCGGAGCACATACAGAAGGCAACCCATCGATGTTTCTCTCTCTATTTCTCCCCCCCCCTTTCCTCTCTCTCTAAAACTCCATAAAAGCATATCCTCAGGCGAGGATTTAAACACACACACACACACACACACACACACACACAGAAGCAAGTCTTATTTTGAAGAAGAAAAGAAAATTGGGGCCAGACAAGCGCCTGGGACCAGGACTTCTGTCTGCACGAGGGAGAGCGCGCTCAGAGGGCACGCGGACCTCCCCCTCCCCATCCTGCCCTCCGCCTGCACATGCCCCCGGGAGGGGGGGGGAGCCTCTCGTGCGCGGTCTTTCGTGGGATGGGCGTGGCTTGCCCACACGCCCAGGTAAAGGCTGGTCCCTCATCCGCTGCCTCCGCAGCGGTGGCCCTCGCCTGTCGGCATGCCCACGTCTGCAATCATCTGACTCCTCCCCCTACCTCCACGAGAATGCCGGGTGTCTGCCTCTTCCTTGCCAAGTGTCAGCACCTCACACAGCCTATGGCACAGAGCAAGCGCTCCCTAAACAGGCGGTAACAAGCAGACGCATTGCAAAAGCGCAAGCCTGTGCCATCCTAAAGCTACTACTCAGCGCTAGAACTGCGTGGATGTGTAGGTATATAGAGAGCTCGCCGCGATCACAGATAATACAGGGGGTCCGTCAGAAAGTCCACGGCGAGCCCAGAAGTGGAATATTCTTTTTTCTTTCTTTTTTTTTTTTTTTTTTTTTTTTTTAATTTTATCGATTTTCCACAGAGAGGAAGGGAGAGGGATAGAGAACTAGAGACGTCGATGAGAGAGAAACATCGACCAGCTGCCTCTTGCCCACCCCCGACTGGGGATGTGCCCGCAACCAAGGTACATGCCCTTGACCGGAATCGAACCTGGGACCCTTCAGTCCGCAGGCCGACGCTCTATCCACTGAGCCAAACCGGTTTCGGCCAGAAGTGGAATATTCTGCGGCAGTTTAAAAGAAGGAGGTCTCGCCGAAACCGGTGTGGCTCAGTGGATAGAGCGTCGGCCTGCGGACTGAAGGGTCCCAGGTTCGATTCCAGTCAAGGGCATGTGCCTTGGTTGCGGGCACATCCCCAGTGGGGGGTGGGCAGGAGGCAGCTGGTCGATATTTCTCTTTCATCGACGTCTCTAGTTCTCTATCCCTCTCCCTTCCTCTCTGTAAAAATATCAATAAAGTAAAATAAAAATAAATAAATAAAAGAAGGTGATCTTTCTCTAAATACCAGTGCTCGGGAAGAAGTCACCAAGGCTGGCTGTGGAAGGAAAGAGCCAGCCACAGGACGGGATGCAGACATAAATAATCAGAACAGGTATGAGTATGGTTCCGTGGGCGCGTGAGAGGGATAAACACTCACGCTGACCAGCGGATGCTTCGGAGACACAGCACCATGGGAGGCACTCAGAGCCTCGGTATCGCATCTCTCTGCCCCGTGCAGACTCTTCGCGTCACGTGATACAGCGAGTCCTATGGAGTGCGGGTCAGGTCCCCGCGTGCTGTGCAGCCAGCAGCAACACGCTTAACCTCTCTGAACCTCTCTGACTCCCCCCACAAAACTTCGGCGAGACAGTGACTGTCTTGAGACTGTTCACGGGGACGGCTGTGAGATACATCGTGCCTGGCACCGCGCCCGGCACAGAGCTGGCGTTCCGTAAACAGTAGCTATTCTTACCGCTGTCGTTCTATATCTTTTTTTTTTTTTTTTCTGCAACCGAATGCACGTATAGATACAAAGTCTGCCTTCTGAGAGTCGTTTGGTGGTAAGTGCAAGAGAAAAAGACCCACGTTTTGGCAAAGCCCCGCTGTCCAGCTTTTGGATGGTGGCTTTCGATGAAGAGGAAATACAAGTACTGCCCCCCCCCCAGACTCACGGCGGAGCGGGAATAGACAGCTGCCCTCCAACCGGCCCGTCATCCTAACAGCTTCTCAGAGAAGGCCCCGCGCTTCACAATTTCAAACCTCAGCTGGAGAGCTCCTGTCGTCTCCTAATAGTTCCTCCGACATAGATAACCCGGCAAAGCAATCTGCCGCGTCTACGCAGGCTCACAGGCGCATGTGCCGAGGGGAGCTCGGCAGAGGCACGAGGCAGGTCGCCAACCCTCCCTCAGAGTCCCCCACCTGCATCACCAGAAGCCTGTAGGGACCCAGGGCTACAGCTCAGAGGCCAGACGCACCCCCCCGGGCCGGCCCCCTTGTGGTTCGGAAGCCCCCCCGCTTACCTGCACGCTCAGGTAGAGCCGGCGTGGGCTCCCGGGGCCGGCACGGTCCACGCTGAGGGCCCGGCACTGGGCTAGGGCTGGGCGGGCCCCGCTGCGGGCTCCGGGGTCCTCATCACTGCCGCCGGCCGGGGTGTCCTTCCCTCGCCCTGTCCCAGGACAGAAAAGATGGTGAGACTGACAGCTGGCTTGTCGACCAGAGTGGAGCTCGGCTTGCACACGCTGCAGCCAACCCAACCACACACGCTGCCACACGCCTGCCCTGCACGGAGGGACGCCTGGCACTGGGCAGGGGCTGCGCTCCTGTCTTCCCAGAAGCTGCTCCAGGAGTCTCTACAGGAGGGTGCCCAGGACCCTCCTCCCTGCTCCCTGCTCCCTGCTCCCTCCTCCCTCTTCCTTCTCTCTCAGGTAGCTTGGGAGCTCACACTGCTGGGGGCACCAGCTGCAGGGAGCAGCAGAGGAAGCGATGCCAGCCTGGCTGTGCCCATCAGCACAGGGTCCGGCTGTTACCCCGGCTGCCTCTAGGTGGCCATTTCCCCTGCCTTCATTAGTGGCCGCCCCACGCTGGGTGGCCTGGCCCCTGCGGCCTTCCCTCCGAAAGCACGTTCGGGGCCAGGAAAGCACATCCCTCGGGCCGCTGACACCGCCTCCCTCCCTGGACGGACTGAAGGGGAGAGAGCTGTGACAGTGACACCCACCCATCCCACAACGGACTGTGGGACCGGAGGGGTGGAGGGGCTGGCCTCACAGGGCAAATGGCAGAACCGCCAGCCTGGGCTGGGATGATCTCCTTAGTGCCAGCCAAGTGCTCTCCAGACTGTAATGCCCTCCTTGGTCCTCAGTCTCCTTGTCAATGAAATGGGGATAAAGAATCAGACGTAACACTGGGGGGTGGGGGCATGTATGGGAGTGGGGTGAGGGGGCGGCAATGGTAAGATATGCACACATATAACACCTTAATTTAAAAAATGGAAAAAAGTAAAATAAAATAGCCCTGCCCGGTTTGGCTCAGTGGATAGAGCCTCGGCCTTCGGACTGAAGGGTCCCAGGTTCGAATCCGGTCAAGGCCATGTACCTTGGTTTCAGGCACATTCCCAGTGGGGAGTGTGCAGGAGGCAGCTGATGGATGTTTCTCTCTCATCAGTGTTTCTAACTCTCTATCCCTCTCCCTTTCTCTGTAAAAAAAATCAATAAAATATATATTTTTAAAAAATAATAAAATACTATGGAATGTAAAAAGAGAGAGAGAGAGAGAATCAAACTTAAAAAACACTTTTAAAAATAATCAAATTCACAGCCCTGTAGAGGGGACAAAATGGGTGATGCACATAAAGTGCTCTCACACACAAAATTAAAATTAAAATAAAAAATAAAGTGCTCACACAGTGCCAGGTCCCCAGAAAGGTGGGGGCTGAGAGGTACCACGCTGGCTGAGACCCTACCCAGTCGCAGGCTTAGCTTTTCACACACAGGATTTCATGTGAGCTTTGTCTCAAATTTTAAAAATGGCTAAAAGCATGTATAGAATACTCATAATGCTCATCTGACAGACCTACACACACACACACACACACACACACACACACACACACACATATGCAGGTGTGCACACACAGGACTGGAGGAACTATACAAAATGCTCAGTGACAAGCTCACGGGGCATTTTCTTCCCGACCCTCGCTTTCCTGCCTGCCACAGAGACTGTGGTTTTTACAAACTGAAGGCAAGACCTGCCACGGGCCTAAAGTCTGTGACTCACTTTATTGCCATCCTCCCTTTGTTGTAGCCTGGAATGGAACCCTCCACGTTTCCATGGTGTGCCTGTAGGTGATTTTTATTTCTTCTTCTCCCCACTCCACCCCCAACAGAGAAAAAACATCTATGAATTGCCTCCCATATGCTCCCTGACCAGGGATTCAACCCACAACCTAAGTACTAGTATGTGTCCTGACCAGGAATCGAACCTGCAACCTTCTGGTTTATGGGACGCCACTCCACGCCACCAGGGCTTTTATTTTATTTTTTAGACTTTGTTTTTGGTTTGGGGTGTTGTCTTTTTTATTTCTTTCTTCTTTCTTTCCTTTTTTTTTTCCTTCTTTTCCCCAGTTTTTAAGGGCACAAATTTTGGCGATTGTTATGGTGTGGTTTTTTTCTTCTTGCTTTTTTTTTTTTTTTTTTTTTTTTTTTCCAGAAAAGCAATGCTACTTCCTATCCCACTTGCAATCCTTAAGACAATCCTGTGGGGTGGAGACCATCTTAGGTCCCTTCCAGACACCTGGGGCTGCCTGACCCCAAAGCCCAAGCGTTTCCCAACGGTCCCCAGGGTCACCCAGCCTCACTCTCCCGGGCAGAGAGCCGTGTCGGCACACATGTGGTGGGCGAGAGCGAGAGCCCGAGAGGTGTTTGCCATGTGCCCTCTCTGCGCTTCAGTTTCCCCTTCCTTCCATGGATGGGCTTGGACTTGACAGCAGTGGGGGACACGGCCAGCTCACAGGACCCTAAACTGAACCCCTGCCCATGTCGGTCAAGAACAAGAGACCACCGCACACACGCCCGGGGCCACCTTCCCCGAAGACGGACGCCTCTCCCCGCTGACACTTCCAGGGAGACCTGCCTAGGCCGGACTGGGGAAAGGGTCCAGGGCAGCTCCCCACCCCGGATGAGCCGGACAATCCAGCCCCAACCCATAATCAGAGCTGCCACTCACTGCTGGCTGCTGGAGGCACCAGGGGACGTGACCCAGAAAGGAGAGCTGGTATTGACAGCTCCCCAGGGGGGACGGCCTGTGGGGGGGGACCCAGATCCAGGGGCTCCTTCGCTGCCCACCTGCTGTCGGGGTCCCTCCCAGAGCCACCTGGGTGGGTACCTGCCCAAACCCTGCGGGCCCCGCTCCAGGGCAGCCTTGGTCCACCGGCTGCGGGCCAGCCCGGGCGGGATCAGGTGTCCCGAGCGCGCAGGGACGGGGCGGCCACAGGGCAGCCACCTCGCCTACCTTGTTTACCAGCTGCCGCCGGTGGCAGGAACCACAGGGGGACCCCAGCCTCCGCCAAGGACCGGCTGACCTGGCCGGGCTGGGGCCGCGTGGCTGCGGCCAGCGTCCTCCCCGCGCCCCGGGGACCGCGTTAAAGTTTAACTCGGCGTCTGTCCGGCCCCAGCGCCTCCTCTGTGCGCAGCCAGCAGCCAGGGCGAGATTGCCGCTCCCCCTCCACGCCCGGCTCCCGGCTCCCCGACCCTGTAATTTACCTGACAGCTCGGGACGGAGCCGAGGAGCCGGCGAGAAACCCCGCTCTCATCCCCGGCGTCTGGAGGGAGGGAGGGAGGAAGGAAAGGAAATCGAGAGGCATTTTAAAAATGCGGACTCACCAGTTCTCAGCCTCCCCGGGCCGGTGTGTGCGAAAGGGCGGGCGGCCGGGCTGGCTGGGGCGGGGCGGGCCATCCCCCGCGGCGCGGGCTCCTCCGGGGCCCGGCCCACTCTCCACAGGCCGCGCAGCGCGGGCGGGGCTCCCGGGTGCCAGGTCCGGCGGGACTGGACCATGGCCCGGCGGGGATCCGCGGCCTCCCCCGGGCACCCGGCAGCCTGCGGGGGGGAGAGAGAGAGACACGAGATGGAACACCGTGGGCCAAGCCGGACCTAGAGGGTCTGCGCCAGCCCCCATGGCCCTCGGGTCCTGATCGCCCATTCAGGATAGGGAGGTTCTGAAAGGGGGTAAGGAGCCCATTGTGTGTGTGTGTGTGGGGGGGGGGTGTCTGCAGCTCCACGTGGAGATCCCACATCGCAGCCCCTCCGCCGGGGGGGGGGGGGGTGTGTGTCTGCAGCTCCACGTGGAGATCCCACATCGCAGCCCCTCCGCCGGGGGGGGGGGGGGGTGTCTGCAGCTCCACGTGGAGATCCCACATCGCAGCCCCTCTGCAAGCTGCCAGGCCCCACACCAAGGAAGCGTGAGTCGGGGCATCGCTGTAAATCTAATCGGAAGGGACCCTGCGGGGGTCGCCGGTGACAAATTGGGTTTAGGTGTCACATTCTCTTACAGTCAGCTCACTCAGACCCTCCAACAAGAGCCTTCCCTCCAAGCCTGAGTCTTCCCTCCAAGCCCCCAGCACAGCAGGCAGCTGGCTAGGCGTTGAGATACTACAGAGATTCGTCCCTTCTTCATTTAATAATTATTTATGGGGTGCCTGCTGTGTGCCAAGCACCTGCAAAGGTGGAGGGGGGCGCGTCTCTTTGATCAGGAGAAACAGGGCCTCAAAGCTCCCTGTGGGGAGGGAGGGAGGTAAACACTGTGGGAGATGCCAGAGCGGTGGGAGAATGGGGGTTGGGGGGAGCCCGGGGCTGGATGGGAAGCTCCACAGGTCCCTTGTAAACTGAGCAAATGCACTGAACAGACTTCCTGCGTGCGCCGAGCAAGCTTTTCTTATTGAGCACCTACTGTGTGCAAAGCAGCCTCGAGGGCCTTTAGTGACTCCGTGATAGACCCAGACTCAGACAAACGTGAAGCCCTTTACAGAAGAAGCCACACGTCAGCTCTCAGAGACGCCCGAGGGCTTCCTGGTGGCCCTGCCAGGGTTGAGCACTTTCCCTGTCCACCACGGCACTGGCTCTTGCTGCCAGGCACTCAGACATCAGTTGTGAACAGAGAGGGTGTCTATCTCCTCTGACCTCCGACCCTCTATGGCTCACAGCATGCGGAGCTCACAGCATGCTCGTCTTTTTAAACACACACACACACACACACACACACACACACACACGCACACACACACAGATTATTATGATCTCTGATCTGGCAACTCAGTGTATTTGTATCTCAACTGGGCACCAAAAGTATTCTAGACTTTTCCTGGAGATCAACCACCTATTTGCCCTGAGCTTTCTATCAGCCAGTGCAAAGGGGAAAACTGACCAGGTGCATGATTCATATAGTATCTTGGATATCAAATAAATGAGGTACTCAAGAGAAGTACACTGAGTGGCCAGGTTATTATGCGTTCAGAGTTCATAACTAATCTCGATTGTGCGTGTGTGTGTGTGTGTGTGTGTGTGTGTGTGTGTTGATTTCAGAGAGGAAGGGAGAGGGAGAAATAGAAACATCACTGATGAGAGAGAATCACTGATCGGCTGCCTCCTGCACTCCCCACACCAGGGATGGAGCCTGCAACCCAGGCATGTGCTCTGACTGGGAATACAACTGTGACCTCCTAGTTCATAGGCTGATGCTCAACCACTGAGCCACACTGCCTGGGCAGCATGCTCATCTCTGCAGCCCCGCAGCACCAGGCCCGGCGCTGCAGCTATACCCAGATCAAATAGTCAGCGATGGCTTTTTGATCGAATGCCCTCAAGTAAACGCAGAGGTTCGCACTGACACCTGCAAGAGAGCAGGGCTGGACACGGAGCCACAGGGGAGGACATGGTCACCCAGAGTCCTGCAAGACCAGAGGCAACCAGGAGGACAGAGCTCACTCCTGGCCGGAAGGGACGCTGGAGGAGGAAGGTGGCAGGGGCACCAGGCGGATGCAGAGCCTGAACTGACGGGTAAGTGGGAGGGAGAGGATGATTACTTCCCGGAGACCTGCCACAGGGAGGCCCAGCTGGAACAAAGACCCTGGGGGCTCTGTAAGGGACAATGTCCTTGGAGCAAATGGGCAAACCCGCAGTGGGCAGGGGCTCCAAGAAGCCCCTATACCCTTCTCTTTGGGGAAGAAGCTTGGCAAGGGTGGGGAGGAGAGGCTGGACCCAGAGGACATGGTACGGAGGAGCCGCTGGAACACGCTGGCTGGGCAGAGGGGCAGGAACGGGGGAGGCCTTGAGAGACAAAAGGCAGGAGAGCGCAGGACAGGTGGTGGCCCGGAGACCTGGTGACCGATGTTGGCAAAGCTGAGCCCTGGGAGCAGGCCAGGCTCCGGCCGGCCGCTCCTGGTCCCTCCTGCCTTCACGGAGGCAGAGGACTCGCAGGAGGAGGCTCCTGGGTGCAGTCTCGCTGGGCTGGAGGCAGGACTGTGGGCCGAAGGGTCGGGCAGAAGCTAAGCCAGGTACGTGGGCCGGTTCCCGAGGAGCTGGGCACGGGCCAGAGAGGCGTGGAAAGGACTAGCGGGAGCCGCCAGCCATCCTCTTCTCCGGGCTGCCTGGCACAGAGCTGGGCACAGGAGCAACCTGCACGACCAGCTGCCCGGTGGGCCAGGAGGGAGAGTTGGGCTCTGTCGGCAGGCCAAACAGGACTCTGAAGGTCAACTCCACGGCCAAGTCGGAGGGGTGGGGACCGGAAAGGACAATATTCCTGAGACTTTCTGGAAGGGAAGTCAGGGAGGCGACCGGGAAGATCTCGGGGAGAAAGAGGAAGGGTGGGGGCCAGATCCTGAAGAGGAAGCAGCGGTTGGATTTAGCAGAGGGCAACATGAAGGTCAAAAGTACTGAGGGCTCAAATTAGCCCCAGGCTGGGGCTGCTCCCCCACGGAGGGCTCCTGGGGGGGTTGTGGGGGGGGATGGTGCTGGAGTAGCCGTGACCAGAAGCTGGTCCAGAACCGGGCTCTGCCACCTGCTAGGTGTGTGACCTTGTGCCTCATTCTCTCCATCTGAAAATGGGGACCACGCCACCCACACAGGGTCAGGAGAAGGATCAGGCAATGCATAGGTAACGAGTTCAGAACAGTACATGTGCTTCCAAAGAACTCACACATTTCCTTTTTCAGATCTCCCTCCAGGCGTGGACGAATGCAGAGGGGCTGGCTACAGGGACAGGCCCTGCCTCTCTGCAGCCCCACCCCACCCGACCCCCGTCCCTCCCTCCCTCCCTCCTTCCCTCCCTCCCTCCAGACCAGGGACATCGCAATGACCGAGGGACACACGGGTGGCCCAGAGACTATTACTGGGGAAGGCTCCGTCTCCCTGGGAGAGCGGGCAGCAGGTCAGGGGGGCTGGCCAGGAGCTGGGACCGCCCCTACACGCAGTCCCCCATCCCGTCCGGGGTTTTCCAGGGCTGCCCCCGAGTTCAAAGCCTCTGCCCCCGTTGGTGCCCATGGGGCTGGCGGAACCAAGCACGCTGTGTCCCTGACGTCCAGTCCCTGAACACACAGGAGGCCGCATTCCTTGCACATGACTCCCCTCTCACTGGCCAAGGAGACGGCTGCTTCGCCAAGGGCACGGGGAACCCGGCCGGGCAAGGAGAGGCAGCGCCCCGCCAGCTTGAGTCTGGCGAGCCCCCTGGGAAGGTGACAGCCCAGGGGTGGCCACCCCCCACCCGCCCGGAGACACACGTGTTGGGGGTTGGCTTGGGGGAGTTCCTGAGCATTTAGACTCGGCTTCCTCTGGAGCCTCCCCCAGGACGAGCACGCCGGGCTGGGCCAGAGTTCTGCTCTAACTCACAGGAGCCGGAGGAGGTGGCTTCTGGCTGGCTCGCCCTGCGGGAACCCCCAGGCTGCTGCTGTCGATCACTCAGGTCTCCCCCTCCCAGGAGGCAGAGGCCCAGGCCTCCTTCCTGACTTGGGGGCCGGCCCGCACCCCTTCCGCCCAGCGAGGGGGGAAGAGAACTGCCCAGGGGTCACGGGCGGTGGGAGGGCCAGAAGCTGCAGCCTCCTAGGGAGCCCCGGGTGCGGGGACCCTGCAAAGGGAGGGGGCGGCGCTGAGGACATGCGGGTCCCCGGTGGGGTCCCGCATTGCCGGCCAATGAAACGGGGGGAAAAGGGGGGAGAGGGGGGTCCCCAGGCTGCTCTAGGGACGCGCCGTGCCGCCCATGCCCTGCTCTGCATCGGGTCCCCACAGAGGGGGAGGGAGGACGGGGAGGGAGAGGAAGGGGGCGCGGGGCTGGGTCTCCCCGGCCGGGTCTCGGCGGGTCGGGCACGCGGCTCCGCGGGCAGAGTGGGCCCGGGTGCGGCTCCCGGGGGGCGCCCCGGGCATGGGCCCCCCAGCGCCCGGCCCGCCCCCAGCCCGCCCGGCCCCGACTCACCGGCCCGGGAGGCACAGTCCCCGCTTCGCCGCCGCCGCAGCGCCCGGGAGGGAGCTCCACCCGCAGCCGCCGGCCCGCTCCGCCCCCGCCCCTCCCGCACGCTTTCCGCAGGAAATGGTTACCCGCCGCGGCGCGTCCCCATGGCAACCTCCGGCCGCGGGAGGGGGCGGCGGCGCCGAGCACGCGCTCTGCACGCCCGCGCGCGGGCCGCACACGCTCCCGCCCACCGGCCCGCACACCCCGCGTCTCCCCCAGCTCCGCCCAGGGCCCCTCGCCCTCGCACACGCTGGTGCACACGTGCGTGCTTGCACACGCATGCTCATACCTTCCCGCGTGCACGCACCCACCAGCACACACGCCCCTCACCCATGCTCCAGCACATTCCCCCTCTAGTGCGTACACACCTGCTTTGGCACCTAAACTTGGACTCTACCACACACACACACACACACACACACACACACACACACACCCTCAGCTCCTCGGAGAAACGCGCACGCACCAGCTGGCACTCACATGTGCAGGGACATGCCTCCTTGCTGTCCGTCGCACTCCTGACTCTGGTTCATATTCTTTTTTTTACATTCTAGCACACACACGTTCACACACGCGCTTGCACGCTGTGGCTGGTACAGGTGTACACTTTCACAGGCACACACTTGGCACATGGGCCCACATGCTTCCCCACAAACCTTAACCTTATACACAGGCACCCTTCCACACGTTGGTGCGCATTGTCTCTCAGTGCTGTGACTCGTTCCCTCACGCCCTAGCACACACACTCTTTTAAACCCGAGGACACGCTTTCACGTGAGCTCTCGCGCACTGGTGAGTGCACACACATGCGCGTTCGCACGTCTCACACATGTGCTCCTACCAGCTCTCATAGGAATACAGAGGGCGGGCAGGCTGCCTCTCCAGATGGGGCAGCCCCCCCTCCCTGCCCCCCTTCTCCCCCAGGCAAATTAATATCCTCCAGAGCAGGAAAGGTACCGGGGATTTTTAAGGTCACGTATTCCTTTAAGCCCCAGTGACAGCACCGCTGGGGGTGGGAGCACTCCCCGGCCGGCCCTTCACGGATGCCTGGGGGAGCCAAGGAGAGACAGCTGACCGGAGAGGCCACTCTGTTCTTTGTCTCCCAAACAGAGGCGGCATTTTACTCCCCAGTCGGCAGCAAGATCCCCCTCCGGGTGCGGCGGAAGGAGGAGAAAGAAAGACGCTCAGAAGCCAGCCCGGTGCAGGCTGATGGCTCCGCAGATAATCCGAGCAGGGTGGGCACTCTGCCCCTTCCTGCTCCGCAGGGGACGGCCCGGGAGGAGCAGAGAGGGGACTTGGGGAGGTGCAGCTCAGGGAGATTCTGTCTCCTGCTGCTGCCCAGGCCCTGGGCTGGTGGTCAAGAATCTCCACCAGAGACAGAGCCAAGGTTTGGGCCTCGGCGTGTTCTGGAAGCCAGGCCGGGACATTCACAAACCCCCCAGTGGGAGTGGGCTAGCGTGTATGTTATATTCTAACAGCGATGCCCCAGCCAAGGCCCAGCAGAGGATGCGTGTCACGTGCCTGGAATAGGTCCCTGGAGAGTTAGCGGTTTCCAGATAAGAACCTCGGGGAACCCTCCCAGTGGGAGGGCAGGCCATAATTTTGGAGTTACCATCTGGGAATCCCCCTATTGGCCCTCCAGACAGCAGTGGCCAGGGGGATTGCAAGGTTGGAGGAGGGCGAAATTCCTCTAGACTCCTGACCAACTATCTCCCTTTGTTCCTATGATTTGATGGTGGGGGGGGGGGGGGGGGCGGTGAGGGGGGGGGGTGCTGCCTGTGTTTAAAGTCCGGGTATAGAACCGGATGCCTTGTCTTTCTTGCCCGCTGGCGCCCTGACATTAACTATGGGTTCCTCCTGCCAGAGCCAAAGAAAGCCAGAATTTAAAATTAATAATAACAACTCTTGTTCTTTATCTCTGATCACAAAAGTAATAGATGTTCATTGTAACCGTAATCCCCACCCACTAGAGATACATGCCAACATTTTAGGACAGTCTTTTTTTTTTTTTTTTCCTCTTCCGTGCACATAATAGCTACCATTTATTCAAGCGAACACCGTGCCAGGCACTGCGCTAAGCTCTTTGCAAACAAGACCCCATTTAACCTGGACACCCGGTGAGGTGGGCACCATCGTGTCCCCGTGAAACCCGGTGTGTGACGGAGCTAAGATATAAATCCGGTTGGTGTGTGTTGTGTGGAGACACATATGCACAAACATAAACCGCCATCCTATGTCTATAGGTGCAAGGGTATTAAGATCCACGCACACCAGTGGGAAAAAAATAATTTGCAGCACTGGGAAGAGGCATTTTCAGAATTTGAGAAAAACTCTGACTTGTAAGGTTAAGACGAATTGCTTCCTGATGGTAAACGTTTAGTTTAAAAAATGCACAGTGTCTTCCCAGCTGGCGTGGCTCACTGGCTGAGCATCAAGCGAGAAACCAGGAAGTCACGGTTTGATTCCCAGTTAGAGCACATGCCCGGGGTTGCAGGTTCCATCCCCAATGTGGGATGTGCAGGAGATAGCTGATTAACAATCCTCTCTCATCACCGATGTTTCTCTCTCTCTCCCTCTTTTCCTCTCTGAAATCAATAAAAATATTCTTTAAAAAAAAGAAGGAAGAAAAAGAATGCACAATGTCACCAGGAACTACACACCAATGACTTCCAGGTCATTTCTATGTCAGAAATTCAGAAATGTCACCAGTGGTTTGGTGTGGAAATTGCCAATTCTCCCCTGGCTACAGGGAATGTGGTGGATTTGCCAGGCAGCCAAGAGCCCTGGGGTTCTACTCACAAAGCTGCAAAAAGGGGGGTTTTGCTTGCTCTGATTCTCACAGTTGATAGATCCTCTCTTCCTCCAGTTGATAGACAGACATAAACCCCACCTGCAGCCAGACATTCCTGAGCACTGAACCACCAATCAGCACCTGCCAGATACCCTAAGCCCCCGCCCCCCATTCCTAGGTCCCTGGGTCCCTAATCACCAATCAGCGTGTGCTGAGTGTCCTAAGCCTGTTCCCTATCCTTAAAGGTGCTCTCTGGAAGCAGCCGGCAGTGGTCCTCTTCCCTCCAATAAAGCCTGTGTCCTGCCATCCCGGTCTCCGGCCCTTCTCTATTTCATCTTTTCACAGTAACCCAGCACAAGTGAAGCACAAGTACAACTTACACGATTTTCCGCTTTTAGGGATTTAGCTCGAGATCCCGTCACCCCCGGGCCTTCGCCATGCTGTCCCCACTTCCTGGCAGTCCTCTCTCGCTTTTACCCTGCTCCTCCCCGCCTCCCCGCACCTGTACCTGGCCGACTTGTCCTCCAAGTCCTTCAGGCAGAGAGGTCACCTTCCTGACCATCCCAGGCTCCGCAGTCACCTGACCGCCCCCCCCCTTGCCGCCCCCTCCCTCAGGGCTGGAAATGAATGGGTTCTTCCGTTGGGGCCCTTTCACTGAGTAAACACAGATGAGCCCGAGGGGAAGGTCGGGGTGCAGTAAGCATACCCACACTTTCCTCCCATGGGGAACGTCAGGACAATTCTTATCAGAAAGAAGGAAGCGGTGGATCCTTAGGCAACAATTTCCATGTGCTCAGCAGGGAGCACCCTGCAATCGCGGATCCTTGCCTAATTCCGGGGAATAAATAGTTGCTTGGAGCTGGAAAACAGACAGCCGGACTTGCCAGTCCCACTTTAAGTAACCCTGACCCAGTTAGCAGCCGCCTCTGTCACTGTCCCTGAAACCGCCCGCTGTGGACGGAGCAGAAAGAGCCGGGAAGGGTCTGGGGAGGGGACAGGCCGTCCCTGGAGCCATGAGTGTGACCCCGGCTGCAGGGTGTGGGCATTCGGCCCCCGAGCATGCGGGTGGACTGGCCCCGGCTGCACCTGCTGGCTCCCACCCACATGAAGGCGTGGGAGGACGGGAGCTCCTCTCCCTCGCTGCTCCAGGCTCGGCTCCCACGGGCACGGAGCGCTCGGTCGATATTTGCACCCTCGGTACCTCTCCCTCTCTCCGAGTCCATGCCCAGGGGCGCCCAGTTTCTGAGAGCCGTGTGGACGGGAAGAAAGTGTCTCCCATGTCCAAAGGCCCCTGCAGAGAACCAAGGCAGCCCTCCCCCCGTGAGACCGTCTTGCTTTCAGATCTCAAGACAGTGACTCCTTTCTGCGTTTGCCAGGGAGGCTGGGCTCTCCGGCTCTCTCGGGGGAGAGGAACCTAACACCGCTGAGGACCTAGGAAAGAATTTGGCAGCGACAAGCCCCTCCCAGCGCTCCAGGGTGGAAAGCAAACAGGGTTTTTTCCCTCTGCTTTATCATTTCCTGGTAGTGTAAACTATGAGAGGAATGCAGGCACCAGGAGGTGTGTGCCGAAGCTCTGACTTAGCCAGAATGAGGTGGGCACAGCCCTGCCCCCACCCCTTCCTCCCTGAGTCTCCCTTTCGGAGAAGATGGTCCGGACGCCACCTGGGCTCCATCGCACAAATGCTCCTGGCTTCCCTTGTATGTGTGTGTTTTTGTTTTGTTTTGTTTTGTTTTGTTTTGTGTGTGTGTGTGTGTGTGTGTGTGTATGTGTGTGTGTGTGTGTGTGTGTTGTTGTTGTTTGTTTTAATATATTTTTATTGATTTTGGAGAGGAACGGGGGACGAGATAGAAACATCAAAGATGAGGGAGAATCACAGATTGGCTGCCTCCTGCACGCCCCCCACTGAGGACCAAGCCCCGCAACCCGGGCCTGTGTCCTGACCGGGAATCGATCCTAGTTCCTAGGCCGACCACTGAGCCACACCAGCCGGGCCCGGCTTCCCTTCCCGTTCCTAAATCCTCCCTCTTCCCGTTCGGAGCAAAGGCACGCGTTATTCCCGCCTTCCCGCTTTCCCTCAGCTTCCCCGTTCGTTTTTCCCTCCCTCTGCTGCACGTGCTAGGGGTCTGGGTTAGTTTTTCTGTTTGTTTTTTTTTTTTCTTTCTTTTTCTGCGCACACGTAGGAGAAACCAAGAGAGAAAACAGCCCCCAACCCCACCCTCTTCACTTACTGTCATCGGGCCAGCTTTTCTCTTTGGCACTTGGCTCTGAACAGACATTATCTCTGCTGAAGGAGAGACAGGATAGAGCGATGGTTACACCGGGGTGCGAGGGTTGGGAGGAGAGGGGGCCCTGGGTTGGAACCCTGGCACAGTCACTCCCAGAGGGAGGGCGCCAGTCCCCGGCCAGGGGGCACAGCACCGTCCCCCAGGCACTGGCTGGTGACAGCGGGAGGCAGAGCCACGCCGTTCCCAGCTCTGCCTTTTCTCACTCACAGCCGTGTAGTGAGCATTTCCAAGTTCATCTTCCCTCCAAGGCCTGCTGCTTTCTGAACTTGAGGGTCCCTCCTCCCACCCCCAGGCCCAGGAGGAGACCCGGGTCCCATTCTGAGTCGGGGTCCCAATGTCTGGGGACACACCCAGCGCTCTGTAGTATAATAAATAATCGCGTTAAATGGCTGCATCCTAGTCTGCCGGACTGGCCGCTCCAGGGGGGCAGACGCGTGAGTCCCTCCCGCCTTTTCCGCTTTCATAATTAACGTCGCTGGGGGGACATCGCCTCCCCTCCTCGCAGCCCGTCCATCCCCCCGGGGAAGGGAGGCAGGCATCTGCGTGGTGGTTCCATGCCCTCTTTCCCGGGAGAGCGTCTGAGCATTTTCCTTCCCCCTTACGCTTCCTAACCACGTGGCCGCATTGCCGCCCGGAGGGCAGCGCCCGGTGGGCACGTCACCCGGCCCCAGGCAGCGTTATGGACCAGAAGGACTTTTCGGGACGAAAATGCACTTACAGTTTTCCTCCCGGGTCTGGGGGTCTGGCCGCCAGC